CCCTCCCCCTTTACAGATCTTGCTTTTCATCTGACTCCTTTCTTCCTATGTCCTTGCTGCTCAGCACTCATTCATATTTATTCATGTCACTTCCTCCTCTACACATCCTCTGTTGCCTGGTAGCTCATGCTCATTTTAATTGTCTCTCTTTATATACTAGCTGCTCCTGCCTTAGGTAACTTTTTTTCCAAGCTGCTCTAATGCCTCCTGTGTTTTAACTGCATGACGAGGGCTAACATACTGTGTGTATTGCCTGGCCTAATGAAGAATGATGATTTGATAGGATGTCTGTATTCATTCTGGAGCAACTTGTATAATTTTTTTTTTCCCCAAAATAACTTGTGTGACATGCAAAATCATATTAATATGGGACTTTAAATGGGACACTTTGGATGTAGCTCCAGCACATTTTAGATTCGTGATCATCTTGTGTATCTGTGGTAAAAATGTGTGTTGTGACGATGAATGAAAGAAGTGTGACTGTGCATTTAAAAATCATCAACACTTCCAGAGTCTTGGAGAGCAGTCTCTCTCCTTGGCTCACCCTTATTTCCTTGACTTTGAAGTTATTTTGTTGTCTCTTTTCAAGGTTTCACAAGGAGCATTGTAGCTGTATATAGTACCTGTATGCTAGTAGTTCTTTTGCGAGTCCAGTTAAATATTATTGGCGGTTACATCTACCTAGATAATGCTGCACTCTGCAAAAATGGCACAGTAAGTTTCTTGTTTTGTTTCAGAGGATTTTCTTGGAAGTGAAAGGATTATTTAGCGAGAGATAAAAAGGGCACAGCTTAGGAGTATTAGAATAAAACCAAGAGTTTTTATAAGAGCGGGAGATTTCAAAGCATTACTGGAAGTAAGATGTATTGATATGTTTTAATAGCCTTTAAATTTGGATAATTTTGTGCTCCTGTTGCTTAACAAAATACTAGCAATATTGACAAATACCTTTTGCCTCCATTTCTGTGCCTTAAAGAAGGTTACTGTGTATTTGAACAACATAAAATAATTGCTTTAATTTTTTTATGAAACGGTAATACTGTGTTAATGAACCAAGATATGTATTGCAAATGTATAAAAATGCTTAGGTCTTCCTAGCACATACATTAATTCTCTCAGTCAAATTTTCCTAGAGTTAAAGAAGAAAAATGTTGTCTTTGAAATTTTGAATATGTAGCTTAACTCCAAAAGACCATCTACCTTGGTTGGTGGTGTGGCCAAGCAAGTAGAAGACTTTTGTTGTTGTTGTTTATGGACTCTTATCTATCACTGCTCAATAAAAATAGAACAATCCCACAGTACACAAGTACCCAGGATACAGAGTAAGATATGCAAATTTTTGGACAACTCATCTAAAAACAATGGATACAAACTTTGATTAGTTGTTGTATGCTCCCCTGTGATAGATCCTGCTGAGAGTCGGTGAAGAGCTTGTCAAGGCAGGTCTGAGAAAAGTTTTCATTAGGGAGGCCAGTGTTGACGGAGGTTATGCTTCATTTTGTAAAACCTGAAGAAGTTTTTTTTTATTAAGAGGGCAGGATGAGTTTGGACTAGCAATGTGTTTCTTTTCTGTTAGTTTTCCAGTAGAGAAATGGGTTGGCAGGGCCAACTTGGAGGCACTCCACTGGAGCAAATTGGGATCCTGTCTCAGGTCCTGAAAGGTTCTTTTCTCCCAGATCGGCATTTATTAGTGTTGAACATAAATATCCTATTCCACTAGGTTTAATTTTGGGGGTTGTGGACGGTCTAGTTTCACCTGCAGTGCAGTTTTAAAAGAGACTTTCCAATATATGAATAAAAAGTGAACAATTTTTCTGTAGCACTGGAGATGGAAGAGAGATCCATATAGTATTGGAGAGAAGAATGCTAGAGGGCTTATGAAAGATCCACAGGTCGATGCCAGGAAGAGAGTCAGAAGCTACAGAGTTGCATGAGAATGAGGAAATTGGTTGCTACAGGTTTCAAATTATTTTTGTGTTGTTCTCTACTGTTGACATGTGACAGAACTGTTTATTACTTTTTCCCCAGACACCACTAGCCCCTCCGGAAGTTCAGCAGCAATATTTATCAAGTATTCAGCACCTTCTAGGAGATGGTATGATACTTACTATAAGTTAATTACACTTACAAAATGCTACTTTTTTCTAGACCCGAGCAAATCATTAGAATAATTTTGACACTCTTCTTGTTCTAGGGCTGACTGAACTAATAACCATTGTTAAACAAGCTGTGTATAAAGTTTTTGGAAGGTAAGAGTCCCTATTTCTCTGTAGTCAGCTTTTAATCTTAATTGTGATGACTGTTCCTAAAACAATGAGTTTTATTAGAATTTTTAAAAAATGGAAGGCATACTGACTTTTTCCAAAGCAGTGTTTTTATTATAGCAGGCTATGTCTGCCAGTGCGCACCAACATAGGTGACTGGGATTCTCTTACTGGTAGAACAAAGCATCATCATCCATTTTGCAATCAACACTGTAGTCTTTTTTTCTTTCCAGTATTTCCCTCAAGCACACCCTATCTCTTCTGGAGCTGGAAGAGAAACTTAAAGATATCAGGGAAGTAGTGGAGCATAGAGAATCAGATCAGATTGCGTCTAATTCTCCTTTATGTCATTATCTGATGCCAGATGAAGAAAACCCCTTGGCTACCCAGGTACTTGTTTGGTTTTTTCATCTGCCTTTTTTTCATTCTGCGTTTTTTCTGTTAGTTTGTTTTGGGGAGAGAAGGATGCATAACAGTCCTCTAGTTACAGCACAGCATCTGCATCTTTAATAAATGGTGACGCCTCTTCTGTCATAAATCGAGTGTCCTTATCTCTTTAGTCAAGGCAAAGTAAAATTGTGCTTGCCTCAGATTTGATTGAAAACAAGTGCCATCCTTAGAATGTCAGCTGAGCTCCAAAACCCAGCCCAGTGACTGCTTTTAGGCTGTGATCTGTGCTCTGACACAAGCAGCTCAACTCAGCCGCAAGCCAAGTGGTATTGCCTTGCACCTGGGTACCAGCAAAGACCACAGACAGTTGTAGCATCCTGGCTGATGCACAAGAAGGTGGCAGTGTGCTAGGGTCCTTTGTTGCTTTGGGCTGGAAAACAAACAGGAGTCAAGACAAAAGTGTTACCAAATCTCAGTTGTAATATTGATTTCCTAAATTTTCTAAAAGCATTTGTCTCTGTCCACACCACAGGTTGGAGAAACTCACTCTTAACTTGGTATTACACTAGTATAAAGAAGAAACTTAGGCTTCAGAGTGTGACTGCCTGCACCTACCTTTTTAACTTATGATGATATGCAGGGTTTATTTTAGTTTTGGAGGTCAGAAGTGGAAAAAATACTTAGAATCATAGAATGGCTTAGGTTGGAAGGGACCGTAGAGATCCAGCCTCCCTGCCATGGGCAGGAATG